GGCAAGCCTGTAGGACACTTTCTTAATTAGTGATTGATGGGGAGGGCCCAGCCTTTTGTGAATGGGGCCATCCCTGCACTGATGGTCCTGGTTCTATAAGAAGGCAGACTGAGCAAGCCATGGGGAGCAAGCCAGTAAGCAGAACCCTTCCATGGTCTCTGCATCAGCTCCTGCCTCCAGGTTTCTGCCCGGTTTGAGTTCCTGTCCTGACTTTCTTCAATGAAGAGTGATATGGAAGTATAGGCCAAATAAACCCTTTCCTCCCTAAGTTGCTTTTGGTCATGGTGTTTCTCAGCATTAGAAACCATAGCTAAGACATGGATCCCCTTCTCTCTAGTAACCAAGTCAAACGTGAGGAATAGCTATTACAAAGGCTATGGAGTGAAAGTTCTGCTGGGAATCAGCTGGCAAATCCATCAGGTGTTGTGTTGTATGGAGCCAGATTTCCCCAATGGCTTTACTAAAAGAGGCAGAGGTGACTGTATACTCACTAGCCACAACCCCAGGTGCCCACTTTAATAAATAATCCTGGGCAGAGGAAGGTCTTTTGTTCTATTGATGACTGCAGGGTGCATGGTAGGAAAGAATGGGAGTGAAGGGGGCTCAAAGGACCTTGTGGAGATTGAGGGCAACTCTAGGAAGGGGATGCAGGTTGCTGTCTCTCACAAGGTCTTCCTGGCAGTAGACAATGCCAGGAAAGAGAGGAAGGACATGGCAGAGCAGCTGCCCAGGATAAAATGTCCCTGTGGGCCAAGTGAACAGCACAGTAGCCAGGCTGGAGCACCTTTCTGAGGGTTCATCTAAGTAGACTGAGTTCTGGGCACTGCAGTCTCCAGGTAGCAGCAACGGCAGCAGAGGAACATTAATTAAAACCTGAGCTGGATGTCCCGTCAGAGAACTGTCCCGGAGGAAAACATGAAAACTACTCAGTGTCCCTCGGGAAGTCAACACTTGGCCACTGCAGACAAGGAGGGTCAAGCCACAGGGGAGAGACACTTTCCAGAGGCCAGACACTGCACCTGGGGTATTTCTACCCTCGTCTGCTTTCCCCTTTCTATTTCAAGCCTGGGAAGGTGCTGGGGTGCATCTTGCAGCCAGTCCTTTCTCCTCCCTGCTTTTTATTTCTAGCTGACAAGATTCTTTCTGGCTCAAGTCAATCCTTGGATGAGCAGGGAAGATGAGATGAGATTTAAATTGAGTTTGCGAATGAAGCACCAAAGGATGGAGATTTTAACAACAGAAAGTGATCCAAAAGTAATGCAATCTGCCCAAAATGTCATTAAGGGACAGAAAAGGGAAATTCAGCGGAGCATGGCTGGAGGCAGAGATTAGGGCCAGAGCTTCATTATCGTGCCCCACGGAGGAGTCGAGTAGCCTCAACACGCTGGTTCCACAAATAAACAGAATAAGTTTGCATGGTGGGGCTGCATGTCACTTGGGCGACTGGCTGAGGGACTAGAAGAGAGAGCTTGGGGAGGTGGTGTGCTCACCCCAGTGGGAATTGGGGGGAAGAGTTCCCGGAGGAGGTGCACTGAACTCCAGCACCGAAAGAGGAGATAAAAGCGGGGAAGGTATCCTCAGGTGGGGCAACTGGGGGATGAAGTGGACAGCTGGTTAGAGGTGCAGACTCCGACGCCAAGGGAGGTGTAACCCTGTGAACGAAAAAGGTGACGGTCCCGGGGAGCCACTGCAGACCTTGGGGAACACAGCTACTGGGATATTTTTAATTAATTAATTTTTGAGACAGGGCTTCAGTATGTTGCTCTGGCTGTTCTAGAACTCAGTATGTAGACCAGAAAAATGCAGAAATCCACCTGCCTCTGCCTCCTGAGTGCAGGGATTAAAGGCCTGCGCCACTATGGCTAATATTCTTTTCTTTTTTAAATAAAACTTTATTGTAATAAACTTGCAAATAAAAAACATCATGTGGTGAGATGAGTCAGACCCAAAATCTATACATCTCCCACAAACATCTAAACAATTGGGACAGCCATTCCGAAGCCGTGGAGCTTCAAGTTGGATTTTACACTTTGGCTATTAATTACGTTTTTTTATGCACTTACCCACCACAAAAACCCCGACAAATGCATAAGAGAGTTAAAACTTGAAAAAACAATTAGCTTTATATCCCTTTCCAACACACACACACGCACACGCACACGCACACGCACACGCACACGCACACGCACACACACACACACACGCAAGCACGCAAATGTACATGTAAGTACAGTACACTATGTAGGAAAGAGAAGAACAAAGGGTCCGTATTAGGTGATGAGGAGGAACAGAATACAGGTAAAAGACACACATGTAGAGCTGGGTCTTTGGCTAGCAGGTGCCACGGATTCTGACCTCCACGCATGCTCCTCAGCCATCCACCCATTCTCCTGCTCCTCACAAAGACCATTTCCTCCTGGGTTCCCAGTTCCTGGGTCACTATTCTTTCCAGCACCCCTTGCCCCACCTCTGTTGCTGCACTGTTCCCTCGATGGGATGCTGGCAATCACCACCTCCCCGGAAGCATCTCACTAGCCCCTCCCTCCTGGCTCTCTTCTCAGCCCATCTCAATTCTGTTCTTTCACTAGGCCTCACCACCAGCGTCTCCTAGGGATGTGTGTGAACTGAAATATCTTCCTTTTATCTTGTCTGGTCTGCACCCCATGGGGCAACACGAAGGCTACTATTTATTCTTTCACACATTAATTTAAGATGCTTTAATTGCTGCTATGATATGTTTTATATAATATAATTAATGTTTTAATTCTGTGTACTGGCTTCCCCCAGGCAGTCTTGTGAAGGGCCCAATTTTGGAATCAAGCAAATAAGGAATAAGCAATAGCTGAGGTTATCTAGTAATGCCCCCACTCCCAGGAATGAAAACCAGGCTTGTTTTCCAAAGGGGATGAAAAGAGGAAACGATGGTTTAATTTTCTCTTCATCCTGGATTTCTTTGTGTGTCTTTAATGGAGACCCCTGGGTCTGGTTTGAATGCTTCTGGCCTTTTTTTGTATGTGAACACCATCCTTTCCACCTAGGGGGCTGCTATGGTTGGAGATCAGTAGTGAGACCTCTAGAGTTGTGTCCCCTTTGCCATCTTCTTTGTCATGGGGGCTGTTCCTGGGTGAGAAGTGACAAATCATTCATATACTCACTGAGATCCTGTGTTAGGACAGTGGCGGGGGCAAGAGGGGGGACCACAACAGAACAGGATGGATTCCAGAGGGAGAAGACAGACAATGCAGTAGAATGTGGCCTCCAGGCATGCTCTTTAGCCACTCACCTGGCCTGTGCTCCTAACAAAGGCAACTTCTTCCCTGGAATGAAGATAAATGAAGCTATTACTGTGTCTTTAAAGCAAAGGTGGTTTACTCGAGAATGACACACATAAGCTCCTATGTTTGAATGCTTGGTTCGTGTTAATGGAACTGTTTTGGAAGATTAAGAGGTGTGGCCTTATTGGAGGGGGTGTGTCACTAGGAGTGGGCTTTGAGGTTTCAAAAGCCCAAGCCAGGCCCAGACCACCCCCTCGCCATAACCTGCTGCCTATGGATCAGGATGTAGAGCTCTCAGCTACTGTTCCAATGCCAAGCCTGTCTGCTTCCCACCATGGGAAGCAGATGATCATGGACTAACCCTCTAAAACTCTAAGCAAGGCCCCAATTAAACACTTTCTTTTGTAAGAGTGGCCTTGGTTATGGTCTCTTCACAGCAATAGAACAGCAAGTAAGACAGGCCCCAAGGCTGGGATTAATGTACCACCTATGCTTCCCCATCCCGTCCTCCTTTTTCTTTGCAGCCTGGCCTCTCAGCACCGCCTGGATATCCAGAGTGGGGAGGATCAACATCCCAAGTACCATCTAGTTCAAGCTCCCGGGCAGGGAATTTCAGCTCAAGTGAATTCAGTGCATCAGGCCCAATGCTTGGACCAGAACTCAGGCCACCTCAGCTGCAGAGCGGAAGGCTAACCCTGCTTCAAAAATGGTGGTGGTAGTGGGGGGTGTGGGGTAAAAGCCCTACTTATGAAGCCTGACAACCTAAGTTTGCGATATGGGTCTCACATGGTGGAAGTAGACAACTAACTCCTTTAAGTGGTCCTCTGACCCTCATATATCCCATGAGGAGAGGAGGGAGTGGAGGAGGAGAGGATATGGTGAGCAGTGGGTGGTGCTGGACACCAAGGGTAAAGTGCCTGTCAAGCAAGCTTGAGGACCACAGTTCGGATCTTTGCTCCGGACCACACCCCACCAAAGTAAATAGAGGAAGAGGGAGGGCCTCCAGCCTTCTAACATTTCTCAGTGGGTCCTGTGATCCTTCGAAAGGCTGGTCCACCCGGTAAATACCTGTCTCCGGGGTGGAGCTGGGATGGGGTAGAAACCGCTGGTGGAGACACGTGGATGGCAAGCATGGATGGGACAATGGGATTCTGCCCCTACACGTGGGAATTTCCTTCTCAAGAAAGAGAAACTGAGGAGGGAACTCATTTTCTTAAATCACTTCCTGGCTTTCCAACTGTGGTCTTTCCCGCTTTCTGAGTTTGCGGTGATGCTGGGGACTTCCTTCGACCTCTCTGTCCCCATTGGGGACGCTTTCGGTTCTGCGAAGATTCCCGGAGCTAATAGGGGAAACGTGGGTATCCTGTGGCGCCTACCCCCTACCCCCCGCCAGTCCCTACAGGAATCCTTTTCCCCTCTGCTCTTTGCAAGCAGGAGAGTCCTTAGCCCTGCTATAGGTGGCTCTTGGGGTCCGGGGAGGTAGAAAAAGGGCTCCCCTGGGACTATGCCTCCTCCAGCCTAGGTGCCTGCCCCTTAAACTCCCGGGGGAATCAGACTCTTGGGAAGGTCCGGGGAAATCCCTGCTCAGCAACTAGCCAGAGACCCTCTGCGATTGGTGCCAGAAGACCCCGCCCCCTTCCTGGGCGGGGCCCTTGGCAGGGACTTCGGAGTTACTAGAGGCAGCACTCTGAGCCCTGTCCGTCTGACCGCTCCGACGACCCCACAATGGTGACTTTGCCTCGGCAGTGCGTGCTCTGGGGCTGCTTGTTGACAGCGGTGAGTGGCTTCTGTCCCGATCCCAAGGGATTGGAGAGTGGGAGATGGAAAGAGGAGACAAGACTTCTGGGACCTTCCTAGCTGATTTGGGGGGAAGGCGGGAAGGGCTGAGTAGGGCGGGCAAGATCTCTCTGGTCTTGACTATAAAATAAGGTGGGTTGCTCCTCTCCCCTCCCAGAAGGTTGGGGTTCCATTCCGTGTAGTGCACAGGGGGAGCTTAGGGAGGGCATACCTACACAGAGGTGCCGGGACAACTTTATCTAATCCAAGCCTGGGCTCAGGAGCTGGCTGCGGAGACTGGAAAGTGGGTTCCGAGTGCACAGGAAGGTAGCCTGGCTAGGGGAAGGGGCGGGTCTGGCCGGTTTCCTGTCACTTTCCCATTGTGGATAGACGCCTGTCATCAGTGGTTATGTTCTCCCTGCTAGTTGGGCCACTTTTTCCAGGGCATCTTGTGGGAACAAGACCCTGGGTACTTTCTTGGTAAGAGGTGATCTAAACCCGCCACACCTGACATAGCCAAGCCAATCTAGGAGGAATCCCAGGTTGATGCCTCTTCCTCTTGCACCTAAGATGGCGGAAGAGGTACCCAAAGAGAGGAATAGCCATGGAACCCACGAAAGGGTGAAGAGACCAGCCATGGTTTCTCCAGGCACCAGAATGGCTCAGACCCAACCAAGCGTATCTCCGGGATTTCCAGAAGCTATCACTTGATTGACTTTTGGTTTAAATGTATTTCTGCAGTTCCTCATTCTGGAGGCTGGGAATCCCCTGACTACCTGAGTCTCATCCCCGCCCCTCTGGCTGGGCTCCCCGTGTTTTCAAGCGCTGTAGAATCTTTTTGGTTTGGAGACAAGGATTTAGGTGTTTCAGCCAACTCCCTCCGACTTGTCCAGGTGTCACTTGGGCAGGTGTCATGTTACAGGCCTGGCTTCAAAGGGACAACATGACAGGGACATTCAGTGCCCTAAGCATATGCTATCAACCAGCTGAGTTGAGAGAGAATCTCAGGTGTCAGAGGTTGACCTCAAACTCGCTATATAGTTGAGGATGACTTTCAGTTTCTACCCCCCCCATTTTTTTGAGTGTGTACTGTTTGTATGTGTGTATACATTTGTGTTGATACATGTGTGTTCTTGTATGTGGTTGCCTGAAGCTGCTATGAGTCATTCTCGGACACTCTCCACCTTACTCATTGAGGCAGGGTCTCAATCAAACTCAGAGCTCCCCATATGGCCAGTCTCACTAGCCAGCTTGCTTTGGGGATCCCCCGTTTGCTTTGTAAGTCTGGAATTACAGGAAGGCCACTGCAAATACCTGGCATTTGCATGTGTTTCTGGACCTGAACTCTGGTCCACATGTTTATGTGGTAAGCACATTAATAGCTGAGCCCTCTCTCCTGTCCTTGAATTTCTCTGTAGTGCTGGGTCTACGGGCATGCATCACCATGACCTTTTTTTTTTTTTTTAAACAATTTTATTTATTTATTTATTTATTATGTATACAACATTCTGCTTCCATGTATATCTGCACACCAGAAGAGGGCACCAAATCTCATAATTGATGGTTGTGAGCCACCATGTGGTTGCTGGGAATTGAACTCAGGACCTCTGGAAGAGCAGTCAGTGCTCTTAACCTCTGAGCCATCTCTCCAGCACCACCATGACCGGTTTTATGTGGCACTAAGAACGGAACCTAGGGCTTCGTGATTGCAGTGCAGCCATTGTACCAACTCCAGCTGAGGGCTGGAGATTCTGACCTGTGGCCTGGGCAGGGATAACTGTGGGGGTCAGCAACAGGAGAGGAGACTAAGTGAAGAAGCTGCTTTCCAAGCTTTCATTTTCACTCTAAGCAAGTGGTTCTCAACCTGTAGGTCTCAACTCTTTGGGGGCAGGGAATCAAACAACCCTTTCACAGATATTTTTACATTACCATTCATAACAGTTGCAAAATTACAGTTATGAAATAGCAACGAAAATAATTTTATGGTTGGGGTCACCACAGCACAAGGAACTGGACTGCATTAAAGGGCCACAGCGTCAGGAAGGTTGAGAACCACTGCTCTGAGCAATGTCTCTTAGGGAGACAGGATGCAGGAGGAGGGTAGAGTGGGAGAGAAGTGGATGAGAGCCTTGTGGGTAGAATGGAGGGAGAAACAGAGGTGTGATGGAGGGTGGTCTGGACTACCTGAGGGCAAAGTCTGCCCTTGTGAGCTCCAATCTGGGCTCCAGGTAGCGGCTGGGCCCTGATGGAAATAGCAAGTGCTGTTTATCAAGGTCTTTCTGTACATGGGGCTGGGAGAGAGATTGCATATAGCCTCCATTTGATTTCTCCCGACTCCTCTGTTTCAGATGACCAAAATGAGGCTCAGAAAGGGGAAAGGGTTTGCCCAAAGTCTCTCAAGATGGATATGAATCAGTATCTGTCACGTGGCAAGGGGTCCCCAAGCTGTGGCCCTGAGAACTTTGTGGAGAACTTTGGGGAATGAAAACTGGGGTGGAGAGTCATCAGAGGAGAGGTGTCTTGTTTCAGTTGCTCAGCGATGCTGTCAGGGCTTTTATTGCTCTAGAAGTAGAGTGGGAAAGTCGATGCCTGGGGACATGCTGTTGTGGGAGGAGCTTTCAGATGCATTTCATTAAGTGATTTGCTCAGATACCCAGGTTGAATTAGAGCAATCCATTAGCTGAATCCTGGACAGACAGTCAGTTGCCAGGGTGCAGGGCACCCAAGCAGACACTCATATGTGTGAGCCGAATACAGCTGCCATTTGGTGAGCACTCACCATGGTAGACTGCCAGCCCGTGCACCTGTGTTCTCTCACATTCTCAACCCGACCTCTGGGGCAGGTGTTATAATTCCATTTTAAAGGTGAGGAAACGGGGCTAGAGAGATGGCTTAGTGGGAGAGGGCACATGCTGCCAGGTTCAGTTCTTAGTACCCACACTGGGCTGGCACACAAAACAATAAAAACAGATCTTTAATGGTGTGGAAATTCAGCCTCAGAAAAGCAAGATAACTAGTTTGTGTTACAGAGCGATTTGTCTCATTCTCAAACAAGGTCTCCCCACAGCCCTAGCCATGGGTATTTCTAGAATGTAACCCAACTTTAAGGAACATAATACAGGCTGGAGGGATGGCTCAGCAGTTAAGAGTTTGTGTGGCCTTTGCAGAGGACTGGGGTTGGGTTTCCAGCACCCACAATGGGCAGCTCACAGCCCCTGCAACTCTGGCTCCAAGGAGTTTCTGATTCGATCTTCTGAACTCTAAAGGACCTGTCCCCCCCACCCCACATATCCACATATAGACACATATCTACCCATAATCAATAACAAAATACATTTTATGGCTAGACAGATCCTTGGAACACTTCGCTTGTTGCTCTTGCAGAGGACACAGGTACAGTTTCTTAGCACCCACATGGTGGCTCACAACCAGCTTTGGCACCAGTTCCAGGGAATCCCGTGTCCTCTTTTGACCTCCAAGGGCACTGGTGCAGGCAAAACACTCGTACACATAAAATAAAGTAAATAAACCTAAAAAATGTTTAAATTCTTTTTGTTGTTGTTGTTGTTGTTGTTTTTCGAGGCAGGGTTTCTCAGTGTAGCCCTGGCTGTCCTGGAACTCACTCTGTAGACCAGGCTGGCCTCAAACTCATAGAGATCCGCCTGCCTCTGCCTCCCGAGTGCTGGGATTAAAGGTGTGTGCCACCACCACTGGTCTAAAACTTAAAAGTCTTAAAAAAAAAACAAAAACCCTCACATAAATCCTCAAGTACAGTACTGAGGAAATAGCTCAGTGGTTGAAGCACAAGCCTGAGGTCCTGAGTTCATCCCTGGAAACATGTAAGGTAGTGTGTGGTAGAAGTCTGCAACCCTAAAGCTCCTACAGTGAAACAGGAGAGTCCCCGAAGTTTTCAGGCCAGCCAGCTGGCCATATGCAGCTGAGAACAGCGACAAGACCCACTTTAAACAGGTGGCAGGTGAGGACTGCCACAGATGCTGTGCCCTGACCTCCACACACCTGAACTGTGGCAAGTGCATGCTCCAAGTCCCAAACAGGGCAATGCATGTGCGCACACACCAAAGCACAGACTCACTTTATAGTTCTTAAAGAAAACTTTCTCACTTTAAACAAAATTCATTTTTTATTACACGTATGTATGTATGTATGTATGTATGTATGTATGTATGTATGTATGTATGTATGCATGCATGTATGAGTACCACAGGGTATGTGTGGAGGTCAGAAGGCAGTTTATGGCAGCCGGTCTTTCCTACCCTGTGGTTCTCAGGGAATGAACTTGGATCATCAGGCTTGGCTGTGGGTGCCTTGACTGTCCTTAGTTTTCAAGGAGCAAGTCTCTGGAGTTAGACCATAGTTAATGTCCTTCCTCCTTCCCTCCTTGTCTTTTTTGTTTGTTTTTGAGACAGGGTTTCTCTGTGTAGCCCTGGCTGTCCTGGAATTCACTTTATAGACTAGGCTGACTGGCATTGAACTCTGCCTGCCTCTACCTTCCAAATGCTGGGATTGAAGGCCTGCAAAGGCACACCTGGCTAGCTAATACCTTTCAAAGACTTTTAAAACTAAAATCAAGACAGGCCCAGGGAGGAGGCACTCAGCAAGTACAGCGACTAGCTGAGGTTTACTAACCTTGTTAAGAGTCAGTTGCGTGTATTTTTAGGGTTTCTTTTTAATTTATGGGAAGTGATACTGGCTGTTCTCTCAAGGCAATAACAGACTTACAGTAAAGAGAAGTGTGTTTAAGTTAGCAAGTTCATAGCATGGGTGGCATCTATGCTATGGTGGAAATGGCGGGAGTGAAACGTGGTCGATGGAGAGAGGACATGTTGAGAACTTTGATTCTGTCCCTGTGGAACACTAAAAAAATGTAGCCTGACTTTAAGGATCACAATACAGGCTGGAGGATGACTCAGCAGTTAAGAGCATGTGTGGCCCTTGCAGAGGACTGGGGATTAGGTTCCCAGCAGCCATGCTGGGCAGCTCACAACCATCTGTAGCTCTAGCTTTTCTGATTCGCTTTGATTCGCTCTTCTGAGCTCTGAGGGTACCTGCCCGGTGTCTCACTCAGCCTCAGTGTTGCCCTCCATAGAATGACTCCTATCCTTCTGGCATCAGTTGATGTGGAGCTGGGGACAGAAAGCATGGTGGCACTCAGGAGAAGGGCTGAGGCCAGCTGGAGCCAGCAGCCGGCTCTACAGGAAGTTCTTGAGTTCTCCCTTCCTGCTGGGTCTTCGGGTGCACTGAGGAGTCAAGAGGATCTATTTGGGTGAGAGAGTTCTGAGTTCTTGCTTTATAAGATGGCAGAATGACTCTCTGGATGCCTTTTATAACCACACCACTTGGCAGTAGAGTTAAAATCAAGTATACCTCATACTGTGGGGGCTTTCTTTCTGCTTTGGATTTCCACATCTGCTACAGTCTGTGTTTTGGCTAACTTTCAACATGCCTGTCAGAGATCCCTTCCAGTTACACACTTCTGTTTTTAGGTCCATTTAGGACAATGCATTACATGCGATGACAAACAGTACCTCTTCAATGGCCGGTGCTGCGACTTGTGCCAGCCAGGTGAGATGTTAGCCTCTCCAGCCCCATACCAAGACCCTTCCTTCCCTCATGGTTTGCTGGCAGATACAGACCCTATGTATGAACTGTGAACTCAAGGCTAAAAATGGCTCATCCCCCCTCCCCCTCCTTGATGCCAGAATGCCCCTGGCTGCCTGCCCTGTGTCTTCTTCCATCTTCCCCACTTATATAGGGTCTGAGGTGGACCCAAGCTCCACTGCCCCAGGCCCTGGCTCACTGGGTAGTGACAGGATCTGTTTCACAGGATTGAAACTGCCTTATTTCCTTCTGGTATTTTACAGGAAGGAGACTAGAGAGCCACTGCACGGATGCCATCAAGACCCAGTGCCTTCTGTGTGACTCCGGCGAATTCATGAACAAGTGGAACAAAGAGCTCCGGTGTTACCAGCATACACACTGTGAATCCAGTGCGTGGGGCTGCTTGGGGAGGTGCACTTGAGAACTGGGTTGATATTCCAAATCATGACATCCCTCCGATTTCAGTAGCTAGGGTCTGTCCTTGTGGGTGGGAGTCTGGGTTGAGTTTGGGCTGTTGAATAAGTTAGTTAGTTGATCATCCTCTGTACCAGGAGGAGCATGTAAGAAAACAGGAGAGGATATGAGAAGTAGGACTCTTAGTGTGGCCCAGGGGGGTTTCTCATTCTTCCTTCTCATCTCTGATCAGAGGAAGGGCTTGAGGTTGAGAAGCAGGGTACTGCAGATACAGACACCATCTGTGCCTGTAAGGAAGGGCAACACTGCACTAGTGAGGAGTGCCAGAGATGTGCTCAACACACATCCTGTGGCCCTGGCTTTGGAGTTAAGCAGATGGGTAAGTGGCCTCCCTGGGAAACAGCTCTATGGGTGGAAGAAAAGAGCTGGGGTTGAGCAGTTGGCTTTGGCCCCCAGAAGCTGAGGGGATAGCGACTCCCACTTGGACTGGCATCTTCCCTCTGGGTAACAGGAAGTGGGATCTTTTGCATTCTGGCCTTGGCTATGGGCAACTTCCTGGGGAAGGGGAAGGGGACTCCTGTTGGGTTGCAGTCTTCAGGGCCACCACTGCGCCGGGGCAAGGAGCTGAAGGCAGGCTCAGGCTGTGACACCGTGACTCACAGAGACTCTTGATGCATCCTCCCCACATGCTCCCAGCCACACGGACTGCCGATACGGTGTGTGAACCCTGCCCAGCCGGCTTCTTCTCCAGTGGGTCATCAGCTTTTGAACAATGTCATCCTTGGACCAGGTAGAAGGGTTGCCTCTCCTTAACCAAAAGTAGTGTGGGTCTTGTGGCAGTTTCTCCAGTCACCTGCTGTTCAGTGACTCACTCGCTTGTGAATGTGCCCTCATGGCTGGCCTAAGGGACACTTTCTGCACTTTTTTCTTGCCTGCTCTTGCTTAGTTAATAGAATCTGGGTCTCCCTCCCTTCCTGAAGTCTCTCATCTTGAGGCACCACAGCACCCCTTTCTCTCGATGAATGTTCCTTGTCAGTTCTTCCGCTTTCTGGGCGTGTAGGTGTATGCGCACACTTGTACATACGTGTATGTGTACACACTCTTGTGTATGCATATGCATGTGTGCACGTGTGTGTGTGTGTGTGTGTGTGTGTGTGTGTGTGTGTGTGTGTGTGTGTGTGTGAGATAGCAACTTGGGGCATTGTTCTTCAGGTACTATCCACCTTTTTCTTTTGTTTGAGGCAGTCTCTCACTGGCCCGGAACTTGCTAAGTAGACTAGGCTGCCTGGTCAGGGTTCCAGGGACCCTCTGCATCCTCTGCAGCACTGGGATTACAACCATATGTCCCCAAGCCTGGATTTCTTTTTTCTAATGTGGGTCCTAGGGATTAAACTCATGCTTACAGGGCAAGTAGTTTCCTGACTGGGTTATCTATCCCCCAGCCCTTCTTGACTCTTAGTTGACTTTCTGGTGCTTTGTTTGAGTCCTCTTCTCCACAGTTACTTTTCCCCCTCTCCTGGGCTGTCTTATCTACATCCGTGGTTCCATTTCCCCCTGGATCTGTGGTTTGGGCCCCAGATGGTCAAGTCTTGCTGCTGAATGTAGAGCTTCCCCAACACCTCAGTCTCTGTATAGCCAGAATGGGCACCCAGCCAAGCCCCAAGGGAAAGGCAGGTTCTGGTTTGAGGCAGTCACATAGAGCCGCACACCTTTGCCTTCACCTCTACCTCAGTCAGGTCTATAGTCTGCTATGAGCGTCTTGGGAATCCACCTCTTTACTCTCTAGTGTGGTCTCGTGGGCCTCATCACTGTAGTGTGGTGATGGCTTCGTCTCTTCACAGGCTCTTTACCTCTTGGCTGGTTCTGCATTGTATTGCCATTGTGACCTTCCATAGCCCTTTTTGGATCACAGTACTTTGTGGCTTACAGCACTCCATGGCTCTCTGCTGCCTCTGGGAAGAAGTCCTGGCTCTGGGGTGGGGCTGGGGTCCGGCACGATCCTCTAACTCTCCCCCCATATCTTGTACCCTGCATTTGTACCCCTGAGCACACTGTTTATTCTTTTGCTTCAAAGTCTCCTGCCTGGGAGAACCCTTAAGTACATGCCCCATTAACTCTTTACATTTATTGTTTTAAATGAACAAGCCCCTCCCCTCAGGCTGTTTTCCCAGTGCTCCTTTCCAGAGATTCTTCTAGTAAAGAAGAAACAAACACACACACACACACACACACACACACACAGACAGACACAGACACACACACACCTTATACAAGTTGTGACCTACCTTGTATAAGGGCTCTCTTTCCCCTCCCCAAAGGCTAACAATTGCTTGAATGGAGAGTTCAAGCCTCCCCCCTCCCATGAGTCTCTACTCTGTGTTTGGAATGGTGCCACCTGAGGCACTCATCAGTGTCCACTGGTGGGTATTAGCTGATCATGGAGGTTCCTGTACCGGAGTCAAATGTGCGCCCGCCACACTGCACCACTTAGCTGGTGTGTGCTGCTGTTTCAACTTTTGTACCTTTTGGGGCCCTTCTGATCTTCCTTTGTGGATCCCCTAATTTGTCTCAGGGACCCTCTGCTTCCTATCTGGAATGCCCCTCCCCTCTGGAGGCCTCAGCCGACTGTCCACTCTTCTGCAACGTCTCCTGCATGAGTGACCTGGGAGCAGTTCCTCTTTCTAGTTAGGTCATGAGGCTGGGTGCCAAGGACACTCCATCATCACAGGTGCCTCCTTGACTCTCCTGTCACACTGGTCCCACCTGGCTGGCTCCCTCTTTCACATCCTTCGATGTCTCCATGGAGAAGTCTCCCCCAAAGACCCTTAACCAGAGACCCTTAACAGGGACCAGTTTTGCTCTCTATGGGACCTTGGGCACATCTGGTCATCTTTCAGATGCCGTAATTGGTTAGAGTGCTGTTCCTGGCATTTAGCTGGTGGAGACAGAGGCGCTGTGAAATATTCTGGGACTTAGGATGTTTCCCAGCTCAAAATACCTGTGGGTGCCAAGATGCTCCACTGAGAACCAAACTCATCCCCTCTCATTCCAGCCGTGAGGCTCCTGCCTTTGAACAATGCCCTCTCTGTTTTAGCCCTTATCATCAAGCCCGGCCGGTATCATCCACACTCCTGGCTATCCCTCCTTCAATATAAGCAGTAATTTTTCCTTTCACTTGTGTGCATGTTCCCGCCCTTCCCATAATGACCAGCTCAGAATGCTGCACTGTAAGCCACATGCTCAGTGAACCTGGACTTGCCACTTGCTGCCTGGCTCCCCTGGGCTTGGAAGTCTTATGGTTGGGGAACCCTGTTCTCTCTCTCCCTCTCTACATGTGTGTGTGCATGCACATACATGTGTTCACATGTGTCTTTGTGCAGCTGCGAGGCCAAAAACATGGTGGTACAGCAGGAAGGGACGAATCGGACTGACGCTGTCTGTGGTGAGTCCAGGGGAGAACGGGTCCTGCCTAGTGTTTTAAAGAGGACACAGAGACGCATAGGCAAGAGGCAGTTTGGGGAATAGTACTTCAGCTTGTATCTTGGGAGCTGGATGAGTCACATCTGCTGTGTGAGCCTCAGTTTCTTCAACTGTGAAATGGGTTGGCAGCAGCACCTCCCTTACTTGTACTCCCTTACATGAGAGCATGTCTTGGAATTTTACTATTTTGAAACTGTGAGCACAGTTCTGTTGCCCCTCAATTGAGGTGTGGGTGCACTGTGACACTGTCACCTGTTAGCCTTGGTTTGGATGCTAGGATGAGAAGCTTGACAAGAGGCTTGGATCACGACCTCAGATTCAGGGACTAGGTTGTCACTGAATGAGTAAAGAGAGGGGTAAGAGAGCTGGGTCTGGGGAGTGGGCCTGTCAGCACAGCTACTTAGGAATCTGAGGCAAGAATTTTGCAAGTTCAAGCCTAGCCTGGGAAGTTTGGGAACACATTGTCTCAACATAGAAAGTAAAAAGAGGGCTACTGAGACGGCTCATTAAGCTAAGCTCTTGTGCAAGCCTGATGACCCAGGTTCCCACACTTGTCTGGCATGTGTGAGGTCCTGGGTTAGACCCACACACTAATCTAGCAGGTGTGAAGTCCTGGGTTAGACCCACACACTAGTGTATGTGAGGTCCTGGATTAGACCCCCACACAAGTCTAGCATGTGTGAGGTCCTAGGTTAGATCCCCAATGCCAAAAAGGGAAAGGAAAATAAAGATACAATCTCTTGGCTTTTTCTCGAGATTGACTTTGTTCTCTTGGGAAGATGTGACTGGAATGGGTGACAGAAGCACAGGTCATCTGTGACATGCAATAAACTATTGTAAAAGGACAGCAAGCAAGAGAAAAAACATTTTGATATTATGCTAGAAAAAAAAACAACAAAAACCTGCGATAAACAAAAGAGCAAATTTTAAAATCGAGTAGGAGCTGGCCTTGCCAGATGTGTGGATCCTGCTTACATCATCCTGATTTTGACTCTGGTTCCAATACAAGTTTATTTAAAAGCCGTGTAGCCGCCTATGGGCCAGTGTTTGTGCTGTTGGTGTTTGCATCCCTATCTATCAGGTGGGTGTGGTGGTACAGGTCTACAGTCCCAGTACTCAGGGGGCTGATGCTTGAGAACCCCAAGTTCAAGGTCAGCCTGAGCCGATTAGTGAGACCCTGTCTCAAAGAGGATTCAATTTTTTTGTCTCCTTGTTATGGGGAAGTGGTTACACCCCTTGCTTCTGATGCCTCCTGCCTTTTGGTCTTTTTTTGTCACTTGGAATAGCAATGTAGACACAAGAGATACTTTATTTCTCTGCTCCACACTTCCATAGCAGATGTTAACAATGTAGACACAAGAGCTGAACAGCCGCAGCTAGGGAAGAGAGCAGGGGGTGTGAGAAACAGGCAGGCAGGCTTTCCCTTCACCACAAAGCTGGTGAAAGCCAGGTGGGAAGTTGGCTGACTGGGGTGTGTGTGTGTGATCCTCCCAACTGAAATCTCCCAGGGCTAGAGAGATGGTAAGAGTGTTTATTGTGCAAGCATGAACTAGGCATTGGGGTGACTGTGACCCCAATGCAACAAGAAGGAGAACTGCTGTAGCTTGTTGGCTGACAGACTAGCTCCAGGCTCAGTGAGAGACCCTGGCTCAGTAGAAGGTGACGTGACAGAGCAGGACAGCCTCTGAATGCACACACCTGCACATATGCCACACCCACATCCGCTGTCCCCCCACAAATACGCCATCTCTCAGTTCATAACCATTGGCAAATACCACAGAAGCATTTAAAAAGATCCCCTGATGCAACATTACCCACAATGCTGCTGCTTGAAAGCTCTGACAGCCTCAGGAGGTCCAGATGCTGGAAGACGCAGTTGCTTTGGACAAGGAGTGGGAGCATCTGCCAGTGGCTCCACTCAAGTCTGTCTCTGCAGGTGTGCAGTCCCGGACGCGAGCCCTGCTGGTCATTCCCATTGTGATGGCCGTCCTCATCACCATCTTCATAGCGGTGTCTTTCTGTATCAGTGAGTGCCCCTGTGAGGGAAGAGGGGGAGGACTCAGGGATGCAGAACCAGCCCTCCCAAAGCCTCACCCCTTCTTTTTCTCTCTAGAAAAGGTGGTCAAGGAACCAGAGGATAATAAGGTAAGCTGGAAAGAGTGACTGGTGGGCAGGTTGGGAGACTCATGCGTGGCACAGGGAGACAGATGACTACTCAGTGGGCAAAGTGCTTGCTACACAAGCCCAGGAACCTGAATTTAGACCCAATACCCACGAAAAAAAGCCTGTAACGTCAGGGCTGGCAGGGGACGTGGACATGCAGAGCTTGCTAGCCAGCCAGTCTAGCTGACACAAGGTACTCCAGGTTCTGAAAGAAACCCTGACTTAGCAAATAAGGTTGAGAGTGACATCGACCTCTGGTCTCCATGGGTGCATGTACATACGTCCAACACCACACTCCTTATGTATATGTACACACATGTGCTCGTGAGCGTGCTCGAGCACACACACACACAGAGGGAGAGAGAGACAGAGACAGAGACAGAGAGACAGAGAGAGATGGATGGGTGGGTGGGTGGAAGGGAACAGGCTCAGTGTCTGTCCCTGGGGCCAGTAAGGTGACAGTCGGCTACTCTTACCCCTACCCTGCCCTGAATCACGGTCTTCATTCCGTCCTCTAACTAATCACTTCCCCACTGGGAGGAGCCAGGCACCATTGGCAGAACAACCCTGCCCATGCTTTCCTTTGGCTTGGAACATAGGGAAGTCCAGCCTTTAGAGGCCAGAAGGTGGAACCAGAGGGGCAGCTTCTTCTGCTGGCTGACTCTGACTCTGGAAGTTTCCTGCCAAATTTCATGTGTCCAGCAGGGGGCAGGAGGTATCTGAGAAATCAGCTTTGATTATCACCCCCCCCCCAAGGGGAAGGGACTTGGAGGAAGGATTCTACTCCTCAGGGACAGGGTGGCTCTATGCCTAGAGGTGACCTTGGCTCTCACACCCTGGCTCTCCAGGCCTCACTCCCTGCTGTTGAAACGGGAGATCCTACGGAGACAGAAGATTGTCTTGGCCACAACACTGCTCCAGTGCAGGAGACATTGGTTGGGAGTCAGCCTGTGGCACAGGAGGACGGCAAGGAGAGCCGCATAGCAGTGCAGGAGAGACAACTGATGGACAGCATGGACTTGAAGCACCTGGTCTGAGATCTTGGAACTGTTGCAGTGGTGATGGCACGAGGGCAAGGGCCTGGCTCGGATGGCGGCTGACATTTGAGATTCGAAAGGAACAAAAACTGCCGCGCCTGCCCAGCTGCCATCCCTTGTCTTGCTTTTAAAGATGGAGGAAAAGCTTGGGCATCAGGGATCCAGAGAGTGCAGCAATACAGGACCCAGAGATGTATCCTGGTGGCTTTCACTATCAGGAGTCATGGACACCACAGTCTATGGCTTTGTGGCTTGTACTGTTAGAAGACACCTGATTGCCCATCAGCAGGGGACTGGCTAAATAAATCTGTAATGTATTTATACAACAGGATCTCAGAAATACTATCAACTGAAACAAACAAAAACAGGTAGTGGAATGGTGGGTAGAGAAACAACCTTTAAAAACACATACCCAGGCAAGTAAGATAGCTTTTGTGGGTAAATTGCTAGCCACCTGATTTTTATCCCTGGGACTACATGGTAAAAGGAGACAACCAAATCCAGAGGATTGACATTTGACCTCCACAGGCACTCTGTGGTCCATGTTCATGCATGCATGAGTGTGTATGTGCATACCCCAAGATGGGAATGGTGGTTCATGCCTGTAATACTAGCACTCAGGAGGAAGAGGCAGGAGAACCAGGAGTTCCAGGCCAGCCTGGAATACATAGTGAATTGAAGGCTAGCCTGACCTACATGATACCGTCTCAAAAACAAACATTAACTGGGTGGTGGTGACACATGCCTTTAATCCTAGCATTAGGGACTCAGAGACTGGTAGATCTCTGAGTTTCGAGGCCATCCTGGTCTACAGAGTGAGTTCCAGGACAGCCAGGGCTACACAGAAACCCTGTCTTAAAAAAAATGAAAAACAAAACAAAAAACCACTAAAGAACAACAGCTTCTCCCAACATCCAAAACAAAGCACCTGAAGCTGTCACATACCCTTCCTTAAACCGTATTTAAGCAGGCTGCACACTGTGCTTGAACACAGTCTATGTAGATATGGAAGGAAAGCTATGATGCTGTGAATAGGACATGTTACATGTGTTACTAAGCACTGAAAATCCAGACGGCAGGAGTGTGTCTCAAGAGGTGGCCGAGTGGTTAAGAGCACCGGCTCCTGTAGAGGGTCTTGGTTTGGTTCCCAGCGCCCACATAGTAGCTCACAGCCATCCAATTTCAGGGGATCTGATGCCCTCTTCTGACATCTATAAGCACTGAACATATATGATACATGTACATACCACACAGGTAAAACACGTGTACACATAAATGAACTGTTTTTTTTTTTTTTTTTTTAAAGAGTGATGAGGTCTGGAGGTAGGTTGTGTGTGTGTGTGTGTGTGTGTGTGTGTGTGTGTGTGTGTGTGTGTTGGGTTTCCCATAATGCTTCATTATCTTTCCAAGGGGACAGTAGATTCATATAATGCTTACATAATTAAAAAATCATCAAACATGTACAAAGGAGACTAAGGGTAGACATGCCAGGTGATGAGATATTTAATTTGCTATTAGAATAGAAGAATTAGGTATTTTCTGAGCTCAAGTAAGAGTGTCCCCAGACTTCTGGGCCTCCAGGGAATTTTGCCGGTGTGCTCACATTCAGTGGTAAGTTTACGAGGCCTCGGGTTCACAGAAGTAGCCTTCTAGGACAGGCAAGGTCTGTGTCCCCCCCCCATTTTACAGGTGGAAGGAATGGGTATGGAGAGGGGGAATGACTTGCCAATGGTGACACAGTGGTGTGCAGTGGCCCATGAACTCCTATTCTTGGTTCCAAGCTGCTTTCCAGAACCTAGCCACTGTGGACACTAGCTTCCAGGAAGACCCTGGGTCCCCCACTTCCTTCTGACCTCCTCTGTGCTTCTCAGTCAGATGGTGCCCTCTCCTGCCCCACGGCAGTGTCTCAGGATAAAAATAGAGCATCCTGTTCTCTTTTCCTGCTGTGCCATCTGAGGGGGAGCCTAGCCAGGAGGAGCAGCAGATGGAGTGGGAGCAGAGGGGAGGGGAGGAAGGCTGGGGGACAAGGAGCGGGAGGAGGAACCATGCCAAGGAGGTGCCTCAGAGAGACTCCTACACAGGCTCCCACTGAGGCTTAACTCATAGGTCTCAGACACTTGTGGATCCCCCTAGAGGTCCCACTGCTTGGAGGGTAGAGATGCCATGGCTGGTCCTGATGGAGGCTGGGGGTGGGAGGTGCCGCTGAAAGCCAAGAGAAGGACACCTGGCTTTGGCAGTCTTCCCAGAAGAGCTTCCAGGGCCATTTGGAGGCACCAGGTGGAAGCTCTAGTTTAGAAAGCAGAGGGAAATGGGGTGGGGGTGGGGTGGGGGACTTTGGGACCTGATGCTCTTTCC